TGGTGCCTCCCAGCCACTTTGTGCCACCCCTGGAGGACTGGGAGCTCAATTTCCTCAGAAGCCAGGCTGCTAATGCCCTGAAAAGGTAACATGACCCAGAAAATCGACCAGCAGGAACTGAAAAGTCTTTGGCAGGGTCTCCAGGGAAGCCTGCCTGGCTCCTGGCTCAGACGGGGATGCAGGAAGGCAGGACTACAGGGGAGTGCAGGACCTGGGTGACCTGAGCTTTGCGGTGCCAGCTGCAGGGCTTCTCTGCATGTGGGGCTGTCTCCATGGCCAGAGATCTTAACCTTGGAGGATGATGTACATGGAACTCCTTGGGGTTAGCAAGCACCCAGGCGGGCGAGGGGAGCGGCAGAGCAGGGGGGCTTTCAACTTGTGCAGTGGCTCACCGCTGTAGTCCTAGCTCTTTGCAAGGCCAAGGCGGGCAGATCACTTGAGGTAAGGAGTTCAAGACCAGCCTGGCCAACATGGTGAAACCCTGCCTCTACCAAAAATACAAAAATTAGCTGGGCGTGGTGGTGTGTGCCTGTAATCCCAGCTACTGGGGAGGCTGAGGCAGAAGAATTGCTTGAACCCAGGAGGTGGAAGTTGTAGTGAGCTGAGATTATGCCACTCTACTTCAGCCTGGGCAACAGAGTGAGACTCTGTCTCAAAACAAACAAACAAAAAACAAACAAAAAAACTTTTCTGAGAATCCCAGATTCATTCTTCACCTAAGTGTCACCTAAGACATTGGGCCTCACACTTGACTGCCCATAGGAATCACCTGGGAGCTTTCAAAAGTCCTGATGCCCAGGTCACACCTCAAACCAATTCCATCAGAATGAGTGAGGTGGGACCCAGGCTTAGTACCTTTTTTAAGGCTCCCCAGGTAATTTCAATGTGTACACAATGTGCAGGCATGTTGAGTTGAAAACTACTTGTCTAAAAGTGGCTCTTAGTCCTGGCTGCACATTAAAATCAACTGGGAAACATTAAAAAAATAATAAAGCAGGCTGCCCCCGTGCCATAAACCAGAGTCTCTGGGGAGGGAGCCTGAGCATTGCAGGTGGTAAAAGTCCCCAGATGATTGTAAAGCACAGCAGGGTTGAAACCCTAGCACCATGGGCTGTGGTGCTATCTCTTGCTGGCTGTGTACGGTCCCTGGGCTCAGCCCCACCATCTCTAGGGTGGGATTGCCATTTTTAAACTCCAAGGCATGACAGTGCTCAGTAAGCCTTCCTTTGCATCCTTTGTTGTTTGCAAACTGGCTCTTATTTGTGAGCCTCAAGGAAACCTGTGGCAGAAGGAAGGCTTGAGCCCCACACATGAGACCTGAGAGTCACCCCAGAGGTGGCCTGTGTAGGTCTGGGTTGGCTTTAGAGATTATTTTTAAAAACAAAGATCTAGGACACATATTTTGATAGCTTACAGAGTGATTTTCCTAGTTTGTCTTTTTGCTCTTGCAGTTCTGTATAACCCACAGAGAAAAACCAGACAAAGGAATAAAGAAGGGACCACTCCTCAGCACTTGCTGTTGTTCAAAGATAAACTGAAGCACATAATAAAATATCAAAGAGATTTTCATGAGCAACTCATGAATTGGGCAGTTCCAGATAGAAAGCAGTTAGGGACCCCGAGGAAGGCATGCGAGAGGAAGGCTTTTAAAAGGCAGAGGTGGGAGTAAGGCAAAGGAAATACATGATTGTTTACAGTGAAGCAGTAATTTCATTCAGATCATTCCAATGGAAAGTCCCTAGTTAGAGAGTAGTTGGTGATTTCTGATTGGTTAAGCTTAACTAGTAGAAAGTCGCCAGTTAGGGGTTAGTCAGCAGTTTCTGATAGGCCTAGAATATGACTGTTCATGTTGAGTTGGCTTGTGGATTCCTAACGTAGGAATCGGGGGCACTGCAGCGGCCTCAGCCCAATGGCCTCCCGATTAAATTTTGTTTTTAACACAGGTATGACAACACAGTGGCCACATGTGCCTTCCAGGTCCCTCATTGGGAAGGAAGGTGAGGTAGCAGCAGCAGCTCCCCAGTGCAGAAACTGAAGGCTCTGCTCCTGGACGCCGCTCTTCCTGATGGGCAGCCAGTACTTCTCACAAGATACCCCCTCTGCAGGTCTCAGCCCCTGAGGTTCACTTTGTGGCTTCCAATGTCAGTGGGCCACTCTTCGTGAGATCCAGGCACCCATAGTATCATGTCATGTGGTTGTTAAAAGCAGGGTGGGGCCGGGCGCGGTGGCTCTTGCCTGTAATCCCAGCACTTTGGGAGGCCGAGGTGGGTGGATCACAAGGTCAGGAGATCGAGACCATCCTGGCTAACATGGTGAAACCCCACTCTACTAAAAATACAAAAAATTAGCCAGGTGTGGTGGCGGGCGCCTGTAGTCCCAGCTACTCAGGAGGCTGAGGCAGGAGAATGGAGTGAACCCAGGAGGCAGAGGTTGCAGTGAGCCGAGACCGCGCCACTGCACTCCAGCCTAGGCAACAGAGCAAGACTCCGTCTCAAAAAAAAAAAAAAAAAAAAAAAAGGCAGGGGGGGGTGGGCTGGTCAGTTTCAGCTATTTACCAGCTGCATGACCTTGGTCAAGTCACTCAGCTTCTCTTAGCCTAGGTCAGGTTATCTGTTTTTAGTGGGTATGCATTTTAGTTTATAAACACTGGAGTATAAAAATTGTCCCATTCTCCAAATCAGATAACTGCTCTAGTTTCCAATCACAGAGCTGGTGGAAGACAATGTACTCTGTCCAGCTGAGCAAGTATCAAGAGTTTTAAATGGTTCAAACATGGCTGGGCATAGTAGCCCAGTTAGGGGTTAGTCAGCAGTTTCTGATAGGCCTAGAATATGACTGTTAATGTTGAGTTGGCTTGTGGATTCCTAACGTAGGAATCGGAGGGCACTGCAGCGGCCTCAGCCCAATGGCCTCCCGATTAAATTTTGTTTTTAACACAGGTATGACAACACAGTGGCCACATGTGCCTTCCAGGTCCCTCATTGGGAAGGAAGGTGAGGTAGCAGCAGCAGCTCCCCAGTGCAGAAACTGAAGGCTCTGCTCCTGGACGCCGCTCTTCCTGATGGGCAGCCAGTACTTCTCACAAGATACCCCCTCTGCAGGTCTCAGCCCCTGAGGTTCACTTTGTGGCTTCCAATGTCAGTGGGCCACTCTTCCTGAGATCCAGGCACCCATAGTATCATGTCATGTGGTTGTTAAAAGCAGGGTGGGGCCGGGCGCGGTGGCTCTTGCCTGTAATCCCAGCACTTTGGGAGGCCGAGGTGGGTGGATCACAAGGTCAGGAGATCGAGACCATCCTGGCTAACATGGTGAAACCCCACCTCTACTAAAAATACAAAAAATTAGCCAGGTGTGGTGGCGGGCGCCTGTAGTCCCAGCTACTCAGGAGGCTGAGGCAGGAGAATGGAGTGAACCCAGGAGGCAGAGGTTGCAGTGAGCCGAGACCGCGCCACTGCACTCCAGCCTAGGCAACAGAGCAAGACTCCGTCTCAAAAAAAAAAAAAAAAAAAAGGCAGGGTGGGTGGGCTGGTCAGTTTCAGCTATTTACCAGCTGCATGACCTTGGTCAAGTCACTCAGCTTCTCTTAGCCTAGGTCAGGTTATCTGTTTTTAGTGGGTATGCATTTTAGTTTATAAACACTGGAGTATAAAAATTGTCCCATTCTCCAAATCAGATAACTGCTCTAGTTTCCAATCACAGAGCTGGTGGAAGACAATGTACTCTGTCCAGCTGAGCAAATATCAAGAGTTTTAAATGGTTCAAACATGGCTGGGCATAGTAGCTCACACCTGTATAATCCCGGCACTTTGGGAGGCTGAGGCAGGAGGATTGCTTGAGTTTAGGAGTTCAAGACCAGCCTGGGCAACATAGTGAGACGCCATCTCTACAAAAAGTTTTAAAAAATTAGCTGAGCATGGGGGCATGTGCCTGTGGTCTCAGCTACTTGGGAGGCTGAGGCAGGAGAATCACTTGAGCCCAGGAGCTTGAGGCTGCAGAAAGCTGTGATCGCACCACTGCACTCCAGCCTGGGCAACAGAGAAAGACATTGTCTCAAAAAACCAAAAAAACAAAAACAAAAAAAAAAAAAAAAAGAAAGAAAGAAAGAAAAAAAGGCCCAAACATTCAGAAGAGGCTCTCTGGCATTCATTCCACACTGAAATTCTGAAATCCTCTTTGCAAATACAGAGGTTTCTTGAAGACAGTAAGTGGGTAACTTCATAGGCCTATGGCAGCAGAGTGCACAAGTGGCCACAGTCCTCTCCTTCGCATGTCCACACCCTTTATAACGTGACTTTGCAGCAGCTTCTCTCCCCTCTGAATCTGGGCTGGACAGTGTCTGGCTCTGGCCAATAGCATGCCGTGGGAGTGATGAGGGGCCGGCTCTGGACCTGCATCTGGCTGCAAGGCCTCCATGCCCTGCATTCTCTCTCTTCCTGAACCCCACCCAGTTGCCTCTGGAGCAAGTCCGGCTAGCTGGCTGGAGGAGTGGGGAGGAGACTGTGGGAGGTGGCCCAACTGCAAGGCACCCCCGAGGCCAGTCAGCCCCTGCCCGCCCAGCAGCAGAGGCACAAAAAGAACCATGTAGCTGAGTCTGCCTCAAATTGCCAATCTGCAGTATTGGGAGATAATAAGTCGCTGCATTTTAAGTCATTAGCTTTAGAAGATTTATTACTCTGACAGAGCAGTCTTTATCCTCTCTGGGTTCTCTGCAAGGAGGGAGACCAAGCTACTGCTACTTACAGAAAGGAACCCCAACCATCCCCAGCCTCTCTCCTTCCTAGTGTTGCTAATTCCCTCTCAGCCTTGGCTGCTTTCAGCAAACTAAAGCCTGTGCAGCAGGTGCATTCTTCTCCTGGGCACCGCGTGACTTGAGGTATTGTTCCTGAAACACGAATGCCAGTTGCAGCTCCCTTGGGAGGGGACTCCTATGTCAGAACACACAGTGGGTCCTCTCTTTAGATGAGACAGCATCATACCATTCATTCTTGTTCTCTCTGTAGTCCCTAGAGCCCGGAAAGCAAAGGACCATCTCTGCAGGCAAAGCAGGAGCAGCGCCTGCCAGTATCTTCTAAAGGAAGTCGGAATGTGCGGGTGCTGGGTCCGCAGTCACTGCTAAATGAAGACGGAATATGTGGGTGCCGGGCACAGCGGTGGGCCTGTGGTCACTGCTAAATGAAGACGGAATGTGTGTGCTGGGCACAGCGCTAGGCCCGTCGTCACTGCTAAATGAAGACGGAATATGCCGGTGCTGGGCAAGGTGCTGGACCTGCGGTCACTGTTAAATGAAGATGGAATATGCCGGTGCTGGGCACGGTGCTGGACCTGCAGTCACTGTTAAATGAAGATGTAATGTGCAGGTGCTGGGCACAGCATGGAGCCCATAGTCACTATTAAATGAAGACAGAATGTGGGTGCTGGGCATGGCGCTGGGCCCATGGTCACTACTAAATGAAGATGGAATATGTGGGTGCTGGGCACGGTGCTGGGCCTGCAGTCACTGTAAATGAAGATGGAATGTGCAGGTGCTAGGCCTGCTGTCACTGTGAAGTGGTGGGGCAGGGCTGTTTCTACCTCACTGCTGCCCTGTCCACACTAGGTTTGCTCTGGCCTTCCTGTTGCCTGGGGCCTGCCCTCTCTTGCTGTTGCGGAACAGGCAGGATAATCTCTCTCCAGGGCAAGGAATGCACTCAGGCCAGGGACTCCTCACCACCAGCTTCAGGGGCTATGCCCAACCCCACCTCCTTCAGGAGGGTGTCCCAAGTTCTGTCCTTGCCTAAGCAACTGGCACCTGTGCTCAAAATATTTATTGCCCCCATGCCAGCTGCTCTCCCACTTGTCCTGTCAAAGGGAGAGTGGGGCCTGGGGGAGTCTTGCTGCATCCCAGTCCAAGCCCATCAGATGTGGGGGACTTTTGCCCTCTGACCCTGCTCCTCATGAGGCACAGCTTGCACAAAGTGACAGCCCTGGTGCTACCTGAGCCCATGGGACTCAGCTCTTCATCCTCTCAGGGCCTCTTTTGGTCTAGGTGCCCAGGGCACTGAGTGAGACCTGGAGTGACAGGAACACATGACTCATGGAGCAGAGGTGGAACAGCCACTCGGGGTGACTGTGTGCCCTCCCTGGGGGCCATTCCCTCTCTCTTGTCCTAGGAGCTTGGGGTGCCGTGCTTGAGGCGGGAGGCTGTGTGCTCCTGGGAGCTGGCCATGGTGCCATCTTCTAGGGCCGTTTCTCATGCCTCCTAGTTTCCAGTCCCTCCTGACTCCCCTCCTTCTGGGTCCTCCATGGCACAATGATATATTTCATATTTCTATGGAAGGTGTGTCATGTCTCAGCCCCCACACTAGTGCACACACACACGCATGCACACACACACACACACACACACATATATATACACATATATATATATATATTTTTTTTTGCCAAGTAAGCTTGGACTCAAACGTCAGTTTCTTTGAACAGATTTGTCAATGACCTCAAATTAAACTCTCCCATTTGAGAAATGGCAGGTGCTGCCCTTAATACATCTTGCAGGCCTGGGAGTGACAGGTGTGGGGCCTGCTCACCTCGGATCAACCCTCTGGGCCTTGGTGATCACATCTGTACAATGAGCATCACAAACATTCTTCCAGCTCGGACACCCTGAGATTGTAAAATGAGGTGAAAACTTGCTGGGCAAGGGAAATGATCCATTAGCAAGGACATGGACATCTTCTCCCAAACTCTTAGCTCTTGTCGAGGTTCCCAAGAGTGTACCTCTATAAAAGTTCTAGATCTGAAGGCATGCAACTTGTTAGCCAGGAAAAACACCTTCTTGCTCACTCTTGTCAGACTTTAGAATGTCAGCATATGAACAAGCTGGAATTTATATTCATAATGTTGGCCGCTGTTTGGCACTTGCTTGGATTTTGAGATATGAATTATACTTGTGATTGTGTCCCACTCTAGGGCTTAGGTTACTTTTTATTTGAGGTTAATACATGTAGAGGATTGGATGTGGACCGGGTGAGTCTGGCCAGGGACAGATTACAGGGCCCTGGGTTATTTTCTCTTGTTCTTTACCCATTCACATTGGTGCCAATTATTTTGAAAATGAACGATGGTCCATAAATATGAGAGCAAAGCCTGGGTGCATTGCCCTGAGCCTTGCTGTCCTCCCTGGTACTGGTTTGTGCCTCCTCTTCTGGGGTGCACAGGAGAGGCAGATTGGGGCCTGAGGAGATTGGCAGTGTGACAGCGCTGGGACTGACCCTCAGAATCCCTAGTCTGAGAGTGACAAATTACCAAGCTTTCCAGACAGGCTGGTAGCTCCTGTCACCTCTATTTCTAAGGAAAGAAACATACAGACAGTTACAAATTCGTTGAGATTACCTTTGGCAATGCCTTACATTGCCCTTAAAGTATAGGGTACACAGGCTGGTGTACAGTACAGAAGCAGTGCATAGTCCAGAAATAGCACACCATAAATGAACGCTATAGAGCAATGTAGGTGTGAGATGGATGCATGTGGGATGCCATCTGACAATACACATAGAAGACAGAAAAAGGCCAGTCCACATGCATTAGGATGGCTGCTATCAGAAGAATGGGAAAGGCAAGAGTGGGTGAGGACAGGGAGAAACTGGAGCCCTGAACTTTGCTGGTGGAAATGAAAAATGGCATATCCATTGTGGAAAACAGTGCAGCAGTTATTCAAAAGGCAAACACATAAGCAAAATAATCCTGATGCAGAAACACAAATATTGCACGTTCTTACTCATATGTGGGAGCTAAAAACATTGATCTCGTGGAGGTAAAGAATGATAGACACCAGAGACTGTGGAAGGTAGCGGGGAGGAGAGATGAAGAGGGATCGGTCAATGGTTACAAAAGTACAGATAGGTGGAAGGAATAAGTTCTAGTGTTTCATAGCACAGTAGGATGACTTTAGTGAACCATAATTTATTTTGTATTTCAAAATAGTGAGCAGATTTGTAACATTCCCAACACAAATGTTTGGGGTAATGGATATTCCAGTTACCCAGATTTGGTCATTACACATTGTACGCATATATCAAAATAGTACATGTACCACATACATATGTACAACCCTGATGTATCCATAAAAGTTAAAAATAATAAGTTAAACAATAAACAGAATCACCATGGGATCCAGCAATCCCACTTCTAGGTGAAGCTCACTGAAATAAGTCATACACAAAAGGACAAATGTAGTATGATGTGTTTACACTGATATGAAGCTACCTAGAATAGGCAGATTCTTAGGGACAGAAAGTCAGATAGAGGCAGCTGGGACCTGTGGCAGGGGAGGATGTGGAGTTATCGTTTAATGGGGACAGAGTTTCTGCTGGGGAAGATAAGACAGTTCCCGGGGTGGACGACGGTGTGATTGCGCAACATTGTAGATGTCCCCAGTGCCACTTAAAAATGGTTAGAATTGTAAATTTTATGTTATGTACATTTTATTATAAGAAAAAAAGGAGAGCAAAGGCAGCTGTGGGTGAGTTCATGGCGTTTCTCCTGAGTTCCAGCAGGCCCCATCTGTGATGTCCCACAATCCTGTTGCGTGGGTAGGGCTGGTGGCATCGCTGGTCCCATTTTATAGATGACCAGACAAGTCACAGGGACATACCTGTGTGTTCTCATTCACACTTCTGTTCATTGTCTGCCTCCCTACACGGGGGTGTGCATTCTCTCAGGGCAGGGACCTTGTGGGGCCGCTCACCCCAGTGTTCTCAGGGCCTGGCACATAGAAGATATTTGCACTGAATGAAGAAGTGAATGGCACACTTCGTGTGAGGCTGGCCCTGGAGCTAGTAAGGAGCAGGCCCAGAACACTGCCCAGTCCTCCTGCTCTGGCCCTGTATTCTCCAATGCCTCAGGCTGCCTGGAGGGTGAGCGGGAACACCATACACATGAAGCACCTTCCTACCCCAAACCAGGGCAGATGGCCTCTGAACAACTGCACTTGGACAACAGGGCTCTGCTTTGGGGTCACCCCATTTTATTGGCTGGAACTCCTCCCAGCCTCTCACTCCACCCTACTTAGACCCTGTCCCAGTGCTGGCAGGTGTGCCCACAAAGGTGTGGCCTCTTCTCCTGTCTCCCGACCTCTGGACCCAGGCGTATTCTGCTTCCCCAGTCTTGGGCCAGAGTGGGAAGCTGACCTCATCCCTCCCAGGGTGGCCAAGAGCCAGTGGCTGGCTGGGCACACTTTATGAGGAGGTGGAGCCTGACCCCAGGCTCACCCCTCACCTGTGCAGCCTTCTCCTCCCATATCCTCCTCCCAGGGGGGCCTGTGCCTGGGGTTGCCATTGCAACTCCACTTCTCCCCACCCCGGCACAGTGTGCCTGTCTTGTCTGTGCTGGTCACAGATCCAGAGGCTCCTTGCTGAGCCTGCAATTGCTGCCCTAGTGGACCCAGTTACACCTCTGCTTTTTGGGTGTGGTGTGGAAAAGGCCAGGAAGGGTAAAGAGTAGAAGAGAAGGAAGAGGGAAGGAAAGGCCTGTCTCCCACCACGCCCATCCTTTTATGAAGTCAGGCTCTGAGAGTGACAGGGAGTGACAGGCTTGTAAAATTGTAAAAACTACTGGGCACAGACATGATTTGCTAGCTAAGCATGTGAGCATCTGTCCTCCAGTCTCTTCTTAGCCTGCACCCTGTGTTCAAGGTTATGGCACCATCAGTTCCTTCTGCTTCAAAAGAGCCTAAAGTGGCTCATCTCTTCTCAGTCCTGGTCCTTGGTTTAAGCCTTCTGAGGCTTCTAACTTGGCTGATAACATTGGCATCTGCCAATACCTCAGGCTTAAAATCTCAGGGCCAGCATTTGCTCCTAGTTTTCCTTTAGTGCTTCCCAGTTCAACAGAAGTCCTGCCCTTTCCACCTCCCTTGCTACCACCCTAGTGGCTGCTGGGGCCCCAGGGCCTGCCTATTTATCCTCTGATGTGGTGCCATTGACCGCTGACTGACTCTCTGCCACACGACAACCAGGGGGTGGCTCAAAAAACACTACAACAACCATATTATTCCCCAGTGTAAGATTTCAACAGCTTTCTAGTTCCTGCGGGTCATGTAGGCAGCCCTCACCAGGCTCTGGGACAATAGTATGCTGGCTGGTATACATTTAACAAAAACTGTCCGGGAAAAAAGCCCTTACATATATGTAGCATTTGCCAATTTCTGTGGTATAAATACCCCCACTGTGGCTGATTTCAAGTCATCCACATGATGTCACTGAGTGAAGGGCTGGGAAGAGATGCCTAGAATCACAATGTTAGACAGCATCTCCCCCGTGCAGTACAATGGACGCTAAATGACCAAGAGCAGAGATAAGGGGAAAGAAAATGTAGTCAAATAATTAGGATGTGATGAGTTTGGGGGTACTTATTACACTTTACCTAATGTATTTAATTGAAAATAACTTAATGATGGCTTTGTTTAACATCCAGCTCTAAAAATAGCTGAAAATTTAACCATTAGCTCTCACAAGCTAGCACAAGTCAGCTGCAGTGCATAACTGCCTGTGACCAAGGTTGTCTCCGTTTTGACTGGGGGTATAGCGAACGAAGGGCCATGGATTTGGGAGTCCAGTCGAGTTAACTTGCACATGGACTCTTCTCTGGTTTCCAGTGATCAAGTCCAGCATGGTAGGTCTTGTCCTACTCTAGTTTCTTGAGCGGAATCTCAGGTCCTCCATAAAGTGGTCCTGTCTTGCAGTTCTCAGTTTCTTTCAACTTCAAGAGTCTCTCTACTCCTGTGTGTGTTTGTGATATAGTTGCAGCAGCCGGAGCTAGGCCCTGCCATGACCTCTGCAGGGTGCACAGGCCATGCCCTCCATGTGGCTGTGCTTTGCCTGACCACCCATCTCCTTGGCACCATCATTCTCACAGAGCTGGAAGGCAGAAGCTCTGTCCTGTAACCAGTGTGGTGGGGCGGGCTAGACTGCCTGTGGCCTGGGCTCTGTGCCTGCAGCCCTCTTGCTATGCTGAATGAACACTGTTGGATGTCACTTGATGGCTCCCTAGAAGAAATTAGTGGAGTTAGACTTCTGCCTGCAGAGGAAAGTGTATTAGAAACAAAACCAAAGCCCAATCAAACAAAAGAAGCTCTGAGCTTGCACATCAGGTGTATTGTCTTCTGGAAATGCAGGAAGTTGGAAAAGGCCAGGAAGATTAATGAGTGGAAGAGAAGGAAGAGGGAAGGAGAGGCCTATCTCCCACCATGCCCATCCTTTTATGAGGTCAGGCGCTCAGAGAACTGCTGCTTTTGCTTATGGAGTCAGAACAGGCCCCAGCGACCTTCACACCTGCCTAAGGAGCTCAAGAAGAATCCAGCCTCTGAATCAAGATCACTTCTTTTTCTCCCAAGGAGGG